TAACATAGACAACACACTGTTAGATTCAAAACCAGATTTCTAGAAAAGAAAAATATTTCACTTATGATCAGTACTGATATCCTACCGTTTTCTCTCTAGTAACAGAAAACAACTCTGGCTATAATTATATTCTACTTATGGCTCAAAAGTAAAAGAAACTTTATTGAAATCAATGTATTATTTGTAATAAAGGGACAAGTGTCTGAGAATCAGTGCAGTGACTATTATTAATTTCTATCTATTAAATCAGTGGCTTTAAACCAGTTCCTGAGGTAGGTTTGTCCTTTCATCAGAAACAATACTGAGCTTAACATTACAGCCCTGGAAAGATGGAAAGTAAAGTACAAGACATTTCTGGAGGCAAACTGCATAACAGCAAACAAGCAGCTGCATATCTCAAAGGCAAGCAGCTCAAAAGCATGCTATACCTAGCACCACTTCAGCCAAGAGGAAATTCTTCCCTTCCAGGACAGAGCTAAATAATTTTGACATGTTGACATAATGTTGACAATTAAAAAAAAAAATCACTCTAAGTAAATGGTACATCTTGAAATCAGATAACTTTGTTAAGACACAGTTATTAAAAATATTTGTGTTATTGTTTTATAAATAGCAGAGCAGTTTGAGTTAAAACTAATCAGAACACTTTCATTTGTTTTGCTTATACATTTGCAATTTTCATGTACCGATGTGAATTCTTATACCCACTTCAGTGCCCTGGGACAAAACATTAAAATGTGAAAATTTTGTTACTGGGCTTGAAAAAGGTTGTGTAGGTCCAACCACTGAGTGCACCAAACCTCATTGCTAGCTACAGATGTACGGAATTAGCCCACTATTTACCTAAGAAAAACCCCCACCAGCCCCTGGAAAACACCCTTTCCTGTACTGAAATGTAGTTTTTTCACAGCAGACAGTAAGTCAGTTGCTCAGTGCCTGTGAGCTCCTGGGGTCACTGGCATGTTTCTGTAAGGGAGCCAGCACCACCCCTGCATTCCTGTCCTCGCTCTCGGGGCTGTACAGCCCGTTCTTCTCGATGTACGCCCGCACCCCGTCAGGCACCAGGTAACGAATGCTCTGGCCCCTGCGCAGGGCTCTCCGGATCTTGGTGGAGGAAATATCGTTTGTGATCCACTCTTCCACGAGGTGAATGTTATTCTTATGTCTCCACAAAATATCCGATTCGTAGATGAATTTCTGAGCATTGTTTCCAGCCCTACTGATACACACAAGGCCGTGCTTTTCCACAATTTCAGTGATGTCCTCCAACTTCCACAGATTGGGGACTCCAAAGGATTCCAGCATGTCACTTCCACAAAGCAGTTTAACCTGTGGGACACCTTAAAGAGAAAATTAAATGAGAAATAGGGCTTGGTTTGGGGCTTGGCAGATTTCAGCAAACTTGACAGGGACATTTCATTTCTTGTCTCCCTCCCCCTCTGTATCTTTGGTTAAGATGAGAAAATGGAATGAAATTTTAAAAAAAGATTCAGAGTGTATAATTAGTAGCCATAACACAGGATTTTTCTGAATAAAGGTTATGGGAGTCCCTTCATTAAAGGGACTAATGCCTTATGCTGTGGAATCTGAGGGAATAAAGTTACTGAGTGACATCAGAACCAAGGGCCACCATAGAAGTTACTCATCAGTGCAATTCTCTTGAAAGAACAAGGATCATTAACCATCTAATTTGCAAACAGACTTAACTTTTTACAACTGGACTCTGATTTTTCTTTTTAATGGGCTCATGCCTGTTTGGTTCCTGTTTTCTCTTCCGTCCCAGCTTTGTTATGGGTACAGCATCCTGCAGACTATTAGTGACATCGGCAGATAAAAGCTTTTCCTGATGATACCTGAAAAACAGATGTATTTTAGGTATTTTAAAGATGTAGTAAAAAATTGGGATAGTATGGCCTACCAAAGAACCTCTCCCTGCAATTATCCCAACTGGTTAGAATTAACACCATTCTTAATCCTTCTATAGGTTCGTGAAACTTTTTAGAGGTTGGCAGAAGAATACCTTAAAACCTTGAGTGTTTCCAGCCACTCGCTCTGACAGCTTTCCCAGTCATCAACTTCCACCCAATCTGAGTTCTTTGTAGCCAGTTTTGCCATAGTCACTCGGTGATTTGCACTGATCAGACCTTTCTTCTTATATGCATCGCCCACTGGTGAAATGATGCCTTTGATTACTTTGTATTTTCCTGTGGAAAAAGACACAACACACAAGAACATGAGAAGTGGTTGAGCAGATGTTACTTCCCCTGCATTGTATTTAACCTGTGACACAACCACTGTGCAGTGCAATGGCAGCTGATAGGCAGCCCAGTGGAAAAACACAGGACACTCCTGCACTGTCAGGGCAGCACAGTGAAGGAGTTAATAAGATGTATTAGAAATATCTTTTATTTCTGTAAACTATAAACCCTGTGCTTTAGCTCATTAAAATCAGTAATAAGCAACACATAAATGAGCCCTCTCATAATGGCCTACGTGGTTTTGTATAAGATGTAAACACATATCAGCTTCAATATCTAATTAGCATTTGCTAAATGTCTGTCACTGTCAAACAAGCATTTGTAGACACAAAATACTCAACATATAAGTGTCTGGTTATCAAAGCTATTCCAAATGATATAAATTTACCATCCTACCTGTTTCATGGAAGTAGTCTTTAGCCAGCTCAAACAGCCTCAGGTGCATGTTGGTGATGGGATTGAAGGACCCACAGGCCAGCAGCACCACTTCAATCTTCCTGTCAGGATCTTCCATGGCCATTGCTCAGTGACAGAGCCAGGTGGACAATGTTGGTGCCAGGTACCAGCCACTACAAGAAATGGCATAAGAAAGAGTTATTGTCACTTACGTGTGTTGCCAATAAGCAGAAGATAAAATTTCAAGATCAAATTGAATGCTGTCTTTTTCTTCCATCAACCTGGCCTGTGACTGTTCATGTGACACTTCCCAGTCCAATTTCTCAGTGATTAAAATAAGAAATTACTGCAAAGAGGCTGCTTGCCCAGAGAGGACGGCGTACTGCCCACTCTGAAGAAAAGCAGCTCATGCTTTTAAACTTCTTGTGGAGAGATTATCTGTCCTGATTGCAGGACAAACTTTATTAAACTTTGCACCATTTTAAGATGCCAGTGCCAATCAACTGCCAAGGGACATGTGGGCAGGGAACTTCCTTGTTAAGTAACTTCCTTCTAGTGCTTAGAGGGAGAAAGAACATCCTGTGACCATTCCTAGTCTTGCTGCTCTAAACTGCAGTGATCCTTTCCAGCATGATCTATAAAACCAAGACTGTGTCAAATATTATACTGTATTAGATTCTGGAGGAGAACAGTGCCAACATTTCTTCATTTGGGATTTATTTACATTTTCTGAAACACAAAATGTAAAGGCGGTAATTTATATAATTCAAGGTGATATGTGGGAAGAGTGCTATGGACTAAAGATGAGAAAAGTCAGTCTGCCTTGTGTTGCAGCAATGTTAGGTGTACCAGTGGAAAAGGTGAGAGAAGAATAGTAAATTACAGAAGTTTAGTAAAAGCTGCAGTTAAATACTGGGGGGTTTCCCCTTTTCTAAAATACCAGAATTTTGTTCCAATTCTGAGCTTCAGTTTCAGAAAGCTACTTAAGAATTGCTGAAAATGAGGAAATTTCACCATTTATCATTTAATTTCTCCTCACACCTCACACACATTTTTGCTTCTGTATCCTTTCCTGAGAACATTCTGCTTTGCCAAGATGTTTTCCCACATCTGGCCTAACAAAGGAGAACTGCAATGGGCTGTTGCTGTTTGCCAGATGTCTGAGACATCCTGAGGAGCACAGAATTGTCTGCCATTGTTTCTACAGCAGCATCACCACCTGGAAAAATCCCACGAGGTCACCCTCACACAGTGTCTCCCTTAGAGAGAGGCTGAGTGATGTTCACAGCAGCCACGGCGCTGAGACACCATCACAGCCAAACCGCGTAACAGGACTGTGCGCTAACATCAAACAGCCCGCGGATAAAAGGAACTCCTGCAAGCCTTCATATTTGGTAAGTGCTAGTACTTTTCTGTGCTTTCAATAGTTTCACAAACTTTTAAAATATTCTTCATTACTGCAGAGTAGCTCAGCAGCAGAAGGGCTGGTGGTACTTGAAACGCAGCCTTCCCAGGGGCACGGCTAGAGAGTTACTATGGGAACAGGGAGGAGAGGAATTTGACTGCCTTTGTAATGCACAAATCTACTTTCAACAGTGACACATGCTGCAAAACTGAAAAAGGTTGATTATTTCCTTAAAAAAAAAAAAGGTGCAAAAAAAAGCAGAAAATATTAAGATGGAAATAGAGTGTCTTTTCGGGAGTTAGTCAAGTGTCCCTTTTCATGCTCCTAATTTTACAGTTCACAGAAACAGGCAATCATTGCCTCATAAACTCACCTTGCACTAAGACACCAAAATATGCCTACAGCAGGTTTTGGGACGGCTCTGGAGCCCACCCTGCCAGTCACCTTCGGGGGCTAAGCAGGTAAGGATGCTTTACTCAATCTCATTTACGTTTCAGAGGCCAATATCTGCCAAATATGTTTATATATCGGCATATATATAGAATATAAGCATGATGTGGGCGTCGCTGGACGCTTCACTAGCACCCTCTGCAGCTCTCCGCCCCCGCGGGCCTGCTCGGGGGTCCGGTCCTCGCCCAGCGAGCAACCCCCGCCGCCGCCCATCCATCCCCGGTGAGCCCCGCTCCCCGTCCCCTCTCGCCCCCTCGGGTGCCCGCTCACCCCCGCTCCACGTGTCCGGTCACTCCCGTTCCCTGTCCCCCTGCCCGTCCCCGCTCACCCCGTTCCCTGTCCCCCTGTCCCCCTGCCCGTCCCCGCTCACCCCCGCTCCCCGGGCCCGCGGGGCCGCTCGCGCTCATTGGCCCGGGCGCGGCGGAAGCGGCGCTGCCGGAGCGGGATGAGCCCGCCCTGACGCGGCCTGCCCGGTTGAGGGGTGAGGGCGCCGGGGCCGGGCGGGCCGGGGGGGCAGAGCGGGGCCGGAGCCTGGCCGGGAACGGGCAGGCGGGCCCGCGGCAGAGCCCGAGTTCCGCCTGCTCCTCCCCGCAGGCCCCGCTGCGGAGGGAGGGCCGCGTTTCCCCGGAGCGCTGTGAGGCCGGGATCGCCCGCTGGCCGCGCCCGGGACCGTCCCGGGCAGCGCTCCTGTCCCTGCTGCCTCACACAGCTGCGCCCGGGCGGTCTCCTGACCGGCCTTCCGAGGGGCCGTGGGAGGCTCAGACCTGTTGTGTCGTACAGCGGGGCCTCTGTTTCAGTAATTGCTGCTTGGTTTGACACTCGCTTGATTGTAAGTGCTGTGGCTGGTGGAGTTCCCTGGTGGACCGCTCTCGCTGTGAAGATAATTCTGTGCACGCAGCCTGGCATTTCTGTATTTCCACTGCCAGGATCTCTGGGTGTTGTGATTAAACATTCCATCAGCAAGATATTGCATAATTTTAATATTTAGAGTGTTTTAAGTGCGTTTTAAGTTGTTGATACAAACAATAAAATGTACTTTCTCTTAGGAGTGTCATGTAAAAACAACATTTTCATGTGAAAACAGAAAATGGCTTCAAGAGGAACAACAGAGACCAGTAAACTAAAACAAAACTTGGAGGAGCAGTTGGACAGATTAATGCAGCAACTTCAAGATCTGGAAGAATGCAGGTAATAAAAATAGTTGCTTTCCTCTTATATGGTAGTATTTTTTCTTAAGTGGCTGGCAGAAGAAAGTGGTACCTTTCAAAAATCTTAGCAGGGGCTTATTTATTTTTGTGTTTTGCTGTGGCTTTCTGTCTTTAACTTAGGATATTGGTGTCAGTAAAAATTACTTTTAAAAACCTTTATTAAGATTGTTTTATATATCTGAGAAAAATGCAACCAGAAATACTCAGTGTATTCTTTGAAATGCTATATTTCAGTATGACTCTTAAAGTTTTAGTAGCTCTTCACAAATCACAATTTTTCTATGGGATTTTTAATAGTGAACAAATAGCTTTTGTGGCTCTTCTGGTTTATTTTATAATTATAGATGCCTGTGGGGGGGTTGCATTGTTTTCTTTTTAGTTTGTCTAACTTTTCATGTGATTTTCTACTAGTCTTCTGTGGGTTGATACAATTTGAGACAGTGAATTATCAAGAATGGGCTTTTATCTGTTTTAGTAGTTGCATTTAAACACCCTGTGTTTAGATGCTTCCTGTGACTCTAGTTCTGACTTGTCCTAGCAGTTTGTATCTTTTTCAAGAACAGTTAGAACTGCTGGGGGAGGTGGTGCTGTTCTGGGAATTGGGCAAGGTTTAGGCAGCAGGATCAGTTATTCCTAAGTGGATGGCTTTGGGTGAGGAGATGGGCTTCTCAGATAATCCCATTGGCTGCAGCTTTGGGCAAGACAGTCTCACCACACGATTTTGTTGAGATCCAAAAATGCTTCTAAGTACTGCTCCAGGTGTGGGGTATCTTGTTTATTACTAGGGCGTTTTTATTATCAGTGAGCGTAGAGCCATGCAGGTGGGAGGGTGCAGACCCAGCAGTGCCTGACTGCACAGGAGCAGGGCAGCTGCAGAGGTGGGAGCTCTCAGTGCCTGGGGAACCAAGCTCCGTGCCATGGCCAGTGCCCTGTGCCCCGTGGGGTGTCTCAGGCTGAATCCTGTGATCAGTGTCTCTTCTTGGGTCCTCCCTAGAGAGGAGCTGGATGCAGATGAGTATGAAGAGACCAAAAAAGAAACTCTAGAGCAGCTGAGTGAGTTCAATGACTCCCTGAAGAAGATTATGTCTGGAGATATGACTTTGGTGGATGAGCTCGGTGGCATGCAACTGGTAAGGACAATGTGTTGCTAAAAAACTTCATGTTCTGCCTGGAGTTGATGAAACAGCAAATACATACAAGTGATTCACTAGAATTTTTATGTGAAATATAGATCTATGTAGTGAATGTATTTCCTCATTTAATACACTTGTATATGTAAAAAATTTGGATAGGTGTCTTCATTTTAAAAGGGGAAAAAACCCATTGATGAATTACAAGTGTAACATTGTAGGAGATTAAGACCTGGACAGTAATGAAAAGTTTCACAGCTCTTTCTCAGTCTAATTACATTAATTAGAACATTCTTTAAGCCCTCCATAAAGGTAATTTTTTAAAAATTTCACTTCCATGGTTATGAAAAAAAAAAGATGAGCTCTGTGTATCAAATGATTAAGGGTAATTTTTTAAAAATTTCTCTTCCATGGTTATGAAAAAAAAAAAGATGAGCTCTGTGTATCAAATGATGCAGAGGATACTAATGATGCTTTCCAGGCCTCATTAATCTCATCCTGCTGCTGTAGTTTGTGATTCCTGTTAGTCCTGGTCATTCTTGCTCTTCTCCTTGCAGGCAATACAAGCAGCCATCAGCCAAGCATTTAAAACTCCAGAAGTGATTAGAATGTTTGCAAAGAAGCAGCCGAGGCAATTGAGGACAAGGCTGGCAGAGGTGAAGGCTTCTGTTTTACTGCAAAAGCTGTTTATTTGAGGCAGACTGATTCAAGTGTGTAATGACTGCAAGGAAAGCACTGAATGTGCTGGAAAACTTGGTTGTAAAGTCCAAAAGAGATGGAGAAGTTCTCTTTCAGTATTTGTTCAGTTTTAAATGTTTATTGAGGTAATGGGGGCAGCCATGTGTATTTCTTGGGTTACCTTCTATCTTCTTGCTTCAAAGTAAAAATGGGATTAACAGAGTGAACTGAGGGAGCTGCAAATAGAAAGTCTGTCATTGTACTGAGGGCTGGAGAGTGCACTCGATGTTTCAGAGATCTAAATTGAAGGTCCAGATAAAGTAAAATCAAATGGGATTCCTCCATGTACCAGGGATGTGTGGATACATAATTTTAAATTATTATCATTCTTTGATGAAGTGAGATCCAAGTTTGGAGAAATCAAGTGAGTTAAGGTTAGGGGTAAAGAGTGTTTGCTGAATGTTCAGAAAAACTTCACAGACATCCTTTAAATCATAGCTAGCTCTGTCCTTTACTGCTGTGGGTCCATGACTACTGATGACATTTTTAGGCTGTTGCATTTCTCATGCTGTTGTGTTGGGTGAAATAATGGAAGCTTATATATTTTGTCTCTTTTTCCCCCTGGTGTGCAGATGGACAGAGATTTAATGGTTGGGAAGTTGCCACGAGACCTGTACACCCAGCAGAAACTAGAAATCCTGACTGCCCTCAGAAAGCTTGGTGAGAAGGTAAGGGGTTGGTGTGATAGTCAGGTGAGTAGAGTTTTCTGCCTGTTTAGGAGGAATTAGAAATAATTAAAAGAAGAAATTACAATTTTATAAGCAAACGATAAAATGCAGCTTGCTGTGACAGTACATAAATGTCCTTCCATTTTAATGCCAAACTTCATTTGAAGATGAACATGTATCAAATAGTTTGGTACCTTTCTATATGGCTGTTTCTCCTTTTAAATACTTCCTTTGGTGGGCTGTATGCATGAGTCACTCACCAGCTGGTACAAGGTGATGGTATTTATAAAAGCTACAAAACAAGTCTTTTACTGGCCATCTACCACCAATTCATCAGAACCTATTCAAGACCTCTGACATGTGTCCAGCTTCACTTTTATAGTGTCAGTTGTGCCTACCCCTGGGTATGAGAAAAAGAAATTGGAGAGGTGAGTGATAAATTCATTGTTGCCCCAGTGATCCATCAGTGGCAGAAAAAGCCCTGGGTTTGCCACCAGAGGGAGGAAGAGAAGTGACTTCTCTTTGTGGATGGTATATGAAGAAAATGGGTTGCTGTGTATCTCTGTACTTCAGCTTTTTTAGGAAATGAAGGAATGTCATGGAAAAGATCAAGTGCAGTACTTAAAGGAGCTGCAGTCCAAGTAATTTCTAAAGCCAAGGCTTTTGCAATATTTTATTGCTTGAGTGTCAGAGGAAAAAAAATGTTTTGCAAATATGTAAAGGCTAGTTAAGATTGTGAACTTGAAGCTATCTAATCCTCTTGGAATGAGTTCCTTGGAACACAAGAAGTCACTTCACCACACTCTGACCTATCCTCTTAACCTTTTGAAATGATCAGTAGCCTGCTGCACAGAGGGCTTGCCAGGACAGTAGTCTCACATCTGTTCTGGATGTGAACAATGACAGCAAATGCTGCGTGTTTGTCTGCACAACACTGCAAAATGTTAATTAGCTGTATGCTTGCTAACAAAGCCAGCAAAGACAGGTAAGTAATATGTGTTCCTTCATTCCAACATCATCCTGAATATCTGTACCTGATTTTTATATTTCTAATAAATAAACTGACGCAGACACTGTGAAGAGTTTGACACACATGCTTTGCTGTAATAAAGATGTGTATCTGAGGCCAATTAAATGACTTTCAACTTAGCATATCTGAACCTTCCAAATGTAGGTTACTGCTTCATTATTGTAAATATTTTATGGGCATCTGTCACAAGGCATCAGAGCACATACATAAAAGTAAAATATACATGGGGAAATGTCACTTTAAAGGAAGAGAACCATTTCTAGGTCATTGGTTCTTAACATGGTCAAAGCTGGCAGTGACTGCTTTTTTTTGCTTTCCTCAGTAGATGATAGGAAGTAAGCTTAGATCTTAGTTCTTTATTGTACTGACCATATGACAAAAATGTTATTGACACCTTGGCACTGTTCAGGTACACAGGTACAGTGTGACCTTTTAATAAAAAATTATTGCTGCAGAACTACTTGAACCTTGCATGTGCAGGCATGTCTGACACTGCACATGCTGTCCTGCCTGGGCTGACAGGAGCCAGGGAGGGAAGATTCAGTGCTGGGGAACTAGCTTCTATTTTTTTTTTTTTTTAAGTTTTAAAGCATGGTAGATAACACTGCCACTTAAAAGCTGCAAATGGGCAATTGCTGTAACCTGTCCTAGCTCATGTAGATGCACAAGTAGATGGTGGGAATATGCACAGTTAAGGTACCAGCTTCACAGTTGTGGTGTTTTTTGATTTAGCTCACTGGTGATGATGAGATGTTCTTGTCAACAAATGCTGGTACAGCCCTGAGCCAGTTTGAGAGAGTCTCCACTGACCTTGGTAAGTTTTCATTCTCGTAACTTCTGATTCCTTTGCCTCATTGAACACTGATTAACAGCAGTAGGTCTGGTTCCCCTTTGAAAGAGAATATATGAACAAGAGATTCATGCCATTAAATGAATGAATATGTGTGTGTGTGTGTATATATATATATATACATATTCATTTATATATAAAAATATATGTTTTAGGCCGGCTCCGACTCTGATACACTATTATGAGGAAAAAGTAACACAAGAAATAAATCCAATGCCAAACGTCCATGAAATGCCAAGGGTGTCCATCATGCTGAAGGCTTGAATAGTCTGTCTCAAGCAGAGATGCTGCTCTTAGAATTAAACCCAGAACTTTTTTGCATTAAAGTCTCTCTTCGGGAGAGCTGTGTCCTCTGCCTGATGCAGAGAATTTGGCAGTTTTTGGCACATTGTCAAAATACAGCTTTAAAGCACTCTTCCTGCCATGCTTGTCATACCTCTGATTGTATGACAAGATCAAGAGTTGAGTTACAAAAGGCATTAAATAAGCACACAGTTCATTGTAGTAGTAGTTAAATCTGGGATAAAGAGCTATGAATGGCAGGAAGGTGCCAGACTAGCTCAGGGTACAAATAAACTGTCTGGGTGCCCTACCTTTCAGCTCTGCCCTCCCTGGAAGTGTAAGCAAGGTGAGAACCCTCTAGTTCAAGAGGGTTCTGTAGGGGGAAGTGTTACCAACACCATTCCAGCTACAAACAAAGCACAGCTCTGCAGGAGAAGCTGGGGAAAGGGAGCTCCATCCCAGCCAGGCCCAGTAGGACATGGCTGCTCCAGACCTGGCAAGCCTGTTGTGTTGGTTTTTTTGTATTTTGTATTAGCTCAAGTGTTGTAGTTTTCACAATGTAGGTTTGATTTCTTTGGATCTCAAATGTTTTGCTTGACTTAAATTGTATATAAGGTAATTCACAATTTCCACTAATACTTACTGAAAATGCTTTTTCCCCCTCAGGATCAGGAGACAAAGTCTTTGCTCTTGCAAGTGTTGAAGTAGAAAAGGCAAAACAATGAAGAGGTTCGTGAGGCTTGTGTCTCCAGTTATCAGCAGCACTCGATTTTGGTCCTACTGCGTTTGGTTTTTCTATTTCTTACATGTTGAAAAAAAGCAAAGCAAAACAAAAAACCCAAGCCCTAAATCTCTTGGGCCCTTAACCAGAAGATATGAAGTAAACAGCCTTAAGTGCACTTTGGAACCTTGGTGTCTGTACCCTTTAAGTAATACAAGCTCTGAGGCTGAACACTAAGTGGAACTCTAAAACAAAAGCATGGTATGACTGTCTTTGGAAAGAGTCAGTTGTTTTGATGTTTTCTGAATGTGTATTTCTCTAACCATTAAAACTTAATCTTTTTGCATGTGGTTGTAGCAAGCAGATCTTTTTACTAAGTGGTCCTCATGATTTTTTTTTGGGTGATTCTTCACATTGTCTTAATTTTTGTGTGGACTCCCCACTAAGTAGTTTGTACTAGGAAAGCATTGAAGCTTTGGAAAATGGATGTAGTTTATTGAAATGCCATCTTTCTACAAACTGTTTGCAGAAGACTCAGAATGACCCAGATGCTGATCACTGGCCCTTGGCTGCTTGTTTGCCGTGCACATGAATGAGCACTTTGTGTCCCAGCCCTGACTGAGGACAATGGCAGCCCTGTGGGGAGGCTTCTGGAGTCATTAACCTTGTGTATTGGAAGGACAGGCATTGATAGGACATGGCAATGAGATGCTCTTCCGTGGCTCTTCCTTCAGCTCTGGTGTGTAACTGCACACTGCTGTTGTTTCAGAGGGGGCATGAAATAGCTTTCAAGTAGAAACAAGTTTTAAAAGGGAGGGAGAAGCTCCCGTTATGTGATCAGTGCCAATGTTGTTCAATCCCAGTGTGGTGCTCCTCAGAGGAGGGTCTGTGTCTCCACTGGGTCCTGCACTAACTTGGCTTAGGAAGGTTTCATATCTCATGTAGTTGAATTTTTAGCTCAGAGACTAAGTGGGTAGCATTGACTATTAACAGAAAATTAACATGTCAGTCATCATTTAGAGTGCACTTACAGGGCATAAATGCCCTATAAATTAGCAAGTTTGTCTAATTATAAACTGGGACTGGAGTAGACTAGAAAATGTGTTTCTAGATGTATTTTGCTTTAACAGATATACTTTTGACATCTAGCATTTAAGAAATGAAAGGATACATGATATAGATAGCATAATTTGTTTTTCACTGATAGAACTTCTTTCTCCCTGTTATTAGAAAGCCTTCATTGAGGAGGGGTCTTTTGTCCATTCCAGCAGAACTATTTTCCTGTCTGGGACAGCATTTTGTTCTCTCACAAAGGCTGATTGCAGCTTCATAGCAGAGAGCAGCTTATTAAAAGGCATTATTAGACTCTGAAATTATGGGAAGCAAAACAGTGTGTGGGGACTGGAGCTGCCCTCTTCTCCTTTCTGCTCATTACTGGTGCTAAGGAGCTCTCTCCCCATACACCCCAGCCTGCTTGCAGCATTATTATGTAAATTAAATCTCTCAGCGCTCACAAAAAGTTTACAGTACAGTGACATGGAAACCTTTTTCCTTGTAGTTTGAGAGGTGTAAGTTTCCAGGAGAAACTTTTTAAAATTGGTTTGTAAATATTTCAGGATTTTTGCAAATACCGGTACTGCGGGCAGTTGTAACATTCCAATTAAATTGATCCTTGACTGAACATCTTTCCAACGTCCTGCTGCTTCTGCTCTTGGAAGGATCTCTGGTGGTTTAGGTGGACAAAGATGAGACTGAGATCAGTATTGCAAGATTCAGTGCGTGGGTCAGACTTCTCTTCTCAAAAGCTGTGAAGGGTCAGAAATCAGAGCTCTGCCCAGAGACTGGCTGTGTCCTGCAGAATGCCCTGGCCATAAATGTGATTTAACAAGGAGGCTGCTGCTGATGTGAAGCTAATCATGTGTTGACCCTCGCAGATAGTTAAGTAACCTCTTGAAATAGTTAGACTGATTTCAGGTATAGTAAGTTAATTGGTGTGTTGTGCTAAATATATTGCTAAATAATCCTGGGGTGTACCTCTACCACCATCTCAAATGTTTCTGCAGGGAAAAAAAAGTCCATAATTATTTATTATACTAATGATTTCCTCAAATAAAAACTGATAACAAAAGAACAACTGCTAAATGAAAGCATGGGTTTGTGTTTAACAAACAAGCTTGTGATGTGTGAGTTCCATCCCCAGTTCAGTGTTGGACCTGGGCAGATCACTCATTCTGTACACATCTTTCTTTCCTGGAGTAAAATACAGATTATGATCCTTAAATATTGAGTGCTGTGAAGTTGTTATTGATCATACATTGCTTTGAAGATTAAAAGTGCTTTGTTTTTTGTTTATCATTTTACTTCTGAAATAAGAACTGTAAAGTACAGTAGCTTTAAACACATCAGCAGAGTTCCCAGAGTCCTTTTTTGGCCGTATATAACCTCTTTTTTTTAATCTTCTTTCTCTATAGAGTGAATTCAGTGATTGTACTGATCTGAAGGAAAAAGTGTTAGAAAATTGAAGCTTCAAATATTCTGTCTCTCTTTCTTCTATCTTTTTCTCCTTGTGTTATTTCCCTTCTTTGATCTTGAATGGAAAAGTAGCAAGTTACCTTTGTGTTGAAGAAAAAATACAAGATTTCTTAAGAGATCCTTAGTTTCTCATGCTACTTTGCCTGTAAAAGTCAAATTAATTTTGATAGAGAGCTGTGTGTAAATGACACCCTATGGCCAGGCAGTTCAGGCTGTGTCATGGCTGAAATGGGATCGATGCATGATTTTGATGGATTTGAATTATCAGACTAAGTCTGGCATATAAAATATTAACAAAAGAAAAAGAGATTCCCAGCTAAAACCAAGTCCTTCACTGGGTACCACACACATCTTGGAGAGAAAGAGTTTTCATTGTTGTTGTGTGTGTTTGAATCCTGGATAATGAAAGCAGGGATTGTGTGTGCAGATGCTGCTGGAAGCCCTTAATGAGAGGGGGATGCCAACAAGTACAGAGGGGCTTGGAGGGTGGAAGCAGCTGTGCTGTGATGGAATCCTAAATGAATTTCAGAGCTGATTAAGAAAGAACTGGAGATCAGGAAGGACGGGGTGAATTGAGAGAATTTTTCTAAGTCAAGTAGGGATTCGGAGGAAATATTTCATGAAGTTTTGGCTTACTAGAATAAACAGCAGCCTCATTAAACAAGAGATTAGGAGCTATTGAAAAGAAAAAAATCCATTTAATCTGATAGATTTCTGTAAAATAATATGAAGTCTTTATACAATACATGTAAAAATGTTAGACTTAACCTTTAGATAATTAAACTTCTAACATTCCCTTGCTGAGGGTCAGGTCAAGCAGCGTGAGGATTGGAGGGTAACGGATTTGATCACGTGCAGTTCCACGTTCTGTTTGCTTTGGGAGGCTCTGTGCATTCCCGTGAGACATGAACAATATTTTACTCTATCTCTTGCAGAACTAGCGTAGTTGAGAGGCCTCTTGAGCATCCATCATGTCTTGTGATGAGACAAGTGACTGATGGCAAGATGTCACCTTGCTTGATAGCTAAACATCTCGGTAAGCTTGAAGGGAATAAACTAAGGTGGGGCAGGAGCTCAGCTTTAAGAAAATAAATCTAAAATTCTCCTAGGCTAGAGGAAGCCATGTGGTATCTCTCCCTGCTAAAACCTTTCCGAAATAAATGCAGGATGTTAAATTGATGATGTGTAAGATTGCATTGCACTGCTGTACAGTCAGCCAGCTGAATTAGGAGAGCTAGACAGTACTTAGTCATAAAATGGTGTTGTGCCCATGATGTTATCAGTAAGGAAATTCATACTATTGCAAGGATGCAAATGATGACTTAATTATATGCTCCCACTAGCATAAGATGCTTTTAGATCTTTCCCTCAGACTCATGTACTGTGCTAATTAACAGTAATCCAACTGGAGGATCCCAGTGCAATGCTTCTGCATATTTTTTTCAGCTTATGCTGGAGCTCTTATGTTCTTTTCTTAAATAATTAATAATCATTACTGCCTGCTGTGCTGTGGGTATGTGCCAGTGATCTCAGATCCCAGCACATTTGCACCATTCCTGTTCCTGTCAGAGGCTTGGGTTTGCTCTTTGCAGAGGCTTTCATGTTAAGCCCTTCATTAGCTGGCAGTGGGGTTTGGATTTCAGTGGCATCGGGCTTTGATGTCATTAAGTATCAAGCTGTTAAAGGAAGTGCCACCTATTTCATTACTGTGACTATCTTTATGCAATTAAGTTAAATACCGAGTGGAAAACAGATGCGTTTTACTAAATAACACTTGGTTCACAAAGCATTTTCATCTCCAGGAATTGTACTTGCCTTGCTGCCTCACCAATGCACCCTGTGAGGAAGCAGGGTTACTGTTAACCTAGTGGGAAACCATAATGCACATGAGTGGTGGAGAAGGCTGAGGAGCCTTTGGTGGCTTCTGTCTTCTTTGGGTTTAAGTTTTAATTAATTCCTCTCTGTGTTCACTGGGATTTTACTCTTCTTCCGTCAATGTAGATGAAGCATTACTTTATTTTTTGAGTGCTGCAATGACCAAATGACCACTGATTCTATTTGGAGGTTGGCATTGTCTGTATTGGCTGAATTAGCTCAAGCTGTACTGGATGTTGCAGTGCCTTCAACTTTCTTAGCGCGGTGTTACCCAGCTGCCCCGCTGGGATGGATCTCGGGCGGACCGGGAGGGACAGCAGGAGCCCCGGCACCGCGTCCCTCCGGAGGGTGTTTCTCGGGTGAGTGCGTGCCGCCGTGTCCCGGCGGAGCGGGGGCCCGCGGGGGAACGCGGCGGGGTCCGGCAGGAGCTGCCCCTTCCCCGGCCCGGCCCGCCCTGCCGGCCCCTTCCCCGGCCCGCCCGCCTGCCCGGCCCCTTCCCCGGCCGTGTCCGCCCGGCCCCTTCCCCGGCCCGGCCGTGCCCGCCCCTTCCCCGGCCCGGCCGTGCCCGCCCCTTCCCCGCCGGGCCCCGGTCCCCGCCCCTTCCTCCCGGCCGGCTCTCGGGTGCTGCCTGCGGCGCCGCCGCTGCCCTGGGCGCCGGGACGCGGCGGGTCCCTCCCCCGGAGCCGCCCAGGCACCTCCCTCGGGCCGCCGCGGTGAGTCACGACGGAGGAGGAGGAGGAGGAGGAGGCGGCTCCGCTCGGCTCCGCTCCGCTGCTCTCGCCCGCCCGTGCCGAGCGCGCCCCGCCGCCGCCCGAGCCGCCGGAGCGCCGGGGCCGCCGGCCCCGCACCAGGTGAGCGCGGTGCCCTTTGTGCGCGGCCGGGAACAAAGGCGCTCGGCCGGCTCCGCTCCGCTCCGGGCCGGCTCCGCTCCGCTCCGGGCCTCCCCGCTCCGCGCTGCCGCCCCGCCGGCGCCGCTCCCCGGCCCCTGGCAGGCCCTGGCCCCGCGGCGCAGGTACGGGAGGTGCCTTTTTCATTTTCTGGCATCACCCCTTCCGTCACGAGGCGCCCTGCTCCCCGCTGTCCCACCCCAGGCATGGCCGCGCTGCGGCGGCAGCTGGAGCGTTCCCGGCGCTGCCGAAGGTGCGCTGGGCCGGCAGGTGCCAGCCAGCGCTGGGGCTGCTCGGGGCAGCCCGCCGTGCCCTCGGCATCCCGGCCCTCCTGCCAAAACGCCTCTCGGACAGCGTTTACTGAAGGGCTTCCCTCGGGGGTAATCCTGCCTTGGCTAAAAATGGGGTTTCTAGAGCCTCTGAGGCAGCACTCGGTAACTTGCAGTTTATATGGACGGTATTTGTTGGCACACGTTAGTTTTTTACCTGTTGGGAAGATACGTGAGAGAGGGACAGCATCACCCTCCGGATCAGAACGTATCAGAGACAGATGAGACGTGATCCTTGCTTCTGCTCAGTGTCCAGATGTGCTTCATCAGGGCACGTTTGCCTCACAGCCTCAGGTTTGCTTTCTCTTCAAGAAGAGAATATTTTGCTCTGTTGTATATCATCTTTTATTTGTCCATTCTTCATCTTGGCATGTTGAACAGGATGAGCTTTGATGCTCTGTGAGATGAGCCCGAGACATTCTGCAGATGTGAGGATTTAAAAAAAGAATCAAAACACCAAACTCCAGCAGACTTTGGAGGCAAGTTAGTTGTGCTAGCTCACAGTCCTGGTCTAAGCTGGCTCCAGTATGGTGAGAGGCATGATTAGCAAGTATTTAAGAACATATTTTTCAATACATTTACAAAATCCTACTTTTTTCTTTTTTTTTTTTTTTGGCTGCTGAACTTACAGGCTTTCAGTTTCTTTTGGCCTTGGTTATTTTTGGAGCTCATGTGTGATGTGAAATAGCCTGCTGAAGGAGAACCTCTATGTAAATGGTGAAAAAATGAGGCTGGACATGTACTTCAGTGGGGTTTATTCTGAAAGCACAGGTATTCAAGGTGAGGGAGCATACAGAAAGCTATGTATTACTCTTTTACAAATACAGGCTGGTTTTCTTACCAAGCTACAAGCTCATTTGCCTTGACAAACAGATTCATCTGGAAAAGGGTGACAGGTGTACTTCAGATACATTTCTGTTGCTTCACTTTGCCCTTAGCTGGAAAAGCATCATCAGTTATTGTATCTTTGGCATCTTGGGAGAAACCAGCCGCTCCCTCAGTGAAATTCAGAGCTGCTGGGGGTCTGTGTGCTCTCTTAGTTGATGTGGCACACAGAAATAATAAATCTATGAAGTGTGTAGGACTGAACAACTGCAGGAGCAAAGGCCATTTTGGAAAACTTAATTGGTAATGAGTTGGACCCAAATCTGCTTTAAAGCAGTTTTCTCTTTTGGTTCATTGTAAGCCTTGCAACAAGTTATAGAAAAGTTACACAGTAGGAAAGTGCTTTCAGGGTTCTTCTTGACCTCCAGGTGGGAGTGCAGTGAAATCTTCAGCAGGGAAGCCATCCCCTGGGCTGGCAGGAGTCCCTGTGCCAGCCCCTGTGCCATCAGCAGCGCGGGGGCTGCCCTGGCAGGGGCTGGGGGCTGTGGCTCACGGTGAGCAGCAGCCCCTGGCCCGGTCTGAACAAACCAGTTACTGATGCTGTCACTGACAGAGAATCCTGTGGGGTGCTCACAGTGAGCAGCAGCCCTGGCCCTGTCTGACCAAACCAGTTACTGCTGCTGTCACTGACAGAGCGTCCTGTGGAGTGCTTGGAAAGCGAGTTCTGAGTGCCAGCCTTGTGGGAAGTCTGGAGCTGTGTCCCCTCTGCTGCCCCCCATCCTTCTCCCCTCCAGGTTTGAGAGTGCCTCACTTCGCAAGAGGACAGAGGCGTT